AGTAGAAACTAATACTTTATGATATTTTTTCTTAATGTAGTTAAATATTCTCAAAATCATAATAGAATATGAGAAAAATTATTCATTTTCTTCATAATTAGTAATAACAGCTGACTTAATAATTGTGTAAAGTTAATCTATTTGCATTGATTGGATAACAATCTCTATAACTAATACTCAACTTGCTTTTGATCAACTATTTACAATTTTCAATAAGATCTTATTAAGTTAATTTTGGTAAGATATTATTCAAATATAAATGGTGAATTGTTCAATAATTTTACATAATATTTTTAATATTTATGAATAGTTCTAATATAAATTGAATTTCAAACCATTTTTAGTGTTCATTCAACAGCACTAACAACATAAATGAAATGTAAAAATATATTTTTAACTTATTATATTAAAAATGATGGTTTAAGGTTAAATTTTTATAACTAATTTAACTAATTTTAAAATTGACAAAAAATGAAACAAATATTTTTAATTTTATTAAATCTATTTTTATATATATCATTATCATAAAATTATTATTTATATAAAAAGAGTCCTTAAGAATTTTTGAGATTTATTTAGATTCAAATTTATTAATTATCATAATTCTCATTATAATTATAATGATAATTCGTTAAAATTAGGCCATTATTTGTTCCTAAAAACTACGATACCTTGAATTATATAAAAACTCATCCTTGCAAAATATACAAATATTCCTTTTTTCAAATTATGTAATTTTTTTTAAGTTTTTATAATTTTTATTCTTTTATAATTAAATTCTGAAAAAATATGAATGGATTTACATTTAAATTTTATTCTTCAGCATGTGATATTTTCATTATTATTAACAATATAAAAACTTAATGTTTAATCCTTAATTAGACTTTCTGTAAAATAATTTTGAAACCAGAGATGTATAAAGGTCAGCACCTCTGATAATGATTTGTTATAATAGTAAAACGGGATTACCTGTTTAATTAAAATAGGTTTAATATAATGTTAATATATAACCTGGTTTAGCAGTTGTGGAAATAAATCAAATGTATTCAACAGAATAACAAATGGATCAATATGAATTAGAATACTTATTTACAATAGACCATAATTCTGCTGTAACTAAGATGATAGTTGAACTTGGCGATAAAAAGCTCTATGGAATAGTAAAAGAATTAGAGGAAGCAAAATAAGATTATAAAAAGGGAATATAAGCAGGAAAGACTATGATATTTTGTGAAGAAGATTAAAAAATACCGAATATAAAAAAAGTAAAAATTGGTTGTTTGAATCCTGGTAAATCATTAAAAATTTAGTTTGAATACATCTAACCATTAAAAGTGTTTCTTAATTAATTTTGGAAATTAGAATTGTAACCAATGATAGATACAAATTATTTAGCAATTAATGAATTATAAAATACTGATGATGGGTATGCTGAACTATTCTCTTTTATTTAAGAGAACGTTTACATTTCGGCAATGAAATTAAATTACAAGTAAAATATTTCCATAGTAATTAATATGGGAAAACCTATTACATATGTTAAGTCTCCAACACACTCGATATTGTTTCATTCTAAAATTAATATGAAAGAGAAATAAGTTAGTTTATAATATCCATAAGACCAGTTAAATATTTCCTTAGATCTAGATGATCCAGAAAATTTCAAACCGAATAAAAGGTTTGAATTATTATTTTCATCATAACATATTAATGACCCTTGTGCAATACTTAGCCATACTAATAATGATGCTTTATAACATATTAAATATTGCGCTACTTTAACCCTCATTCCAAAATTCAATGAATTCCCAATAGATGATGCTTATCAATCTTATATAAATGGTTTAAATTTACCTTCACAGACATAAAAATAAAGAGGTATTTTTCTATTTTTTATTGATCGAAGTCGTTCAATGAGACGCAAAAGAATTAAAAGAGCAAAACAAGCGTTGATATTATTTTTAAAGAGCCTTCCTGAAGATTGTTTGTTTAACATAATATCATTTGGTACTCAAGTAAAAAAAATGTTCGATTAAGCACAAACATATAATTAAACAACTTTAGATTATGCAATAAATTAAGTTAAAGAAATGGATGCGGATTTGCGTGGAACTGATATATATAATGCATTGGAATAAGGCATTTATGATGAAAATTATTTAAAGAATAAACACAGTCCAGAAATTCTGAATGCTTTTTTACTTACTGATGGAAAGGATTCTCCTGAAGAGATCATTCAATTAGTATCTTAAAATAAAAGACCTGAAACTCGAATTTATACATTAGGTATTGGGAAAGGTAGCTGTGATTATTTAGTCTAAAGAATAGCAGAAGTTGGAAATGGGAAATGCTAATTAGTAAGACATAAGGATGATATGAATTTGAAAGTTATTGATTTATTAGAAGATTCCCTAAATAGTTATTTGATGGGATTTTCATTAATACATAATATTGACTAGGTATCTTAAATTATTCCTGATCCAAAATCAATAACTTATTTGAAGAAAAATCAAGAATTAACCTTACAAATTTTATTTTCAAATAAACATAAAAAGGATAACTTAGAATTCAAGATTAATTGTTATGACCCATAAATGAATAAATAAATCACTTTCGATGTTAAGATGAATCTAAAAAGTTCGAAAGAAAATGAATATTTCCATAAAATTGCTGCTCAAAGGCTCATAATATATTATGAAAACTCAATTTCTTAAAATGCTAAACAAATGGATATGATTTTGATAAATTAAAAAACCCTTACAGAGATGGATATAATCAATTTGTCAATATAAAATCAGATTTTGTGTTCGAGCACAGCATTTATTTGTGAGGTCTGCTAAAATGAAAAAAAGCTTAAAGCACTAATAAAGAAAAAGCTCATCATTAGAAAAAGAGTCGAAAATATTTCAGAAACGAAATTTCAGCTTTAAGGTAATAATGAATATCAATATGTCTAGATTACTCTGTAGATATGATAAATTAACCTTTAGACATGGTTATTCCAATTATGAATTAGGAAAATAATGAAAATGGTAGAAACTCTGAAGAACTAATGTTAGATCCAATAAGTTTAATAAAAGTAAAAGAAGAAGATTAAAATAACCTCATCATCTCATCCTAATTCTTAGATTAATACAACAAATAACAGAAAAAATTTCTTCCTAAACAAAGTATTTAATGTGTTTTATAGCCAAAAATACTTTATGAGGATTAAAATATATTATCATATTAAGACTTAATTGAATGTGTATAAGCAAATGGTAGTTTCCTTATAGAAATTCATATTGAAGAATAACTAAAGTTATACAAAATAAATAATAAATATAAATTAGAAGATTCATGTTGGGCAACAGTTATTTCTCTTTTTTATTTGGAAATCTTTTGTTAAGATTTAAAGAGATGTTGGTAATTAATTTATAATAAAGCCATATATTATTTATAAAAGAAAGGACTTAATTATTAAAATATCAAAATAGAGTGCATTTAAAATTATCAAAATCTATTTTTGAATGATAAAATTTGAAATAAAAAAATAAAAATTATATTTTAAATTAAAATAATTAATTAATATCATTCATTTTATTTAAATTCTCATTATTTCTTTGCTATTTACAAAGATTTACTTCTTCTTTAAAAATCACCAATCCTATGGCCATTCAGATAAATTTTGGTGATGAGAATTGAAAAAATAAAAAATTTGATAATCCATCTTAAACAGACTTTTTAATTAAATTGATTGCTTATTTGATGGATTAAAACTTAAAAGATGTTCTCAACCACAGATGAGAATAAAACAAAACTCATTAATAAATAATGAAACTATCTTTAAAACTTTCAATCATTTTTGATTTGTGCCTTAATTATTCAAACAAAAATATCACCATTTATTTCATTTTTGCATTAGTTATCTAGTAGAATTTATAGTTTATGGATCAATAAAAATGATATTTCAATTTTAATGATTAGGATTTGTACAAATTTGTAGATAAAGGTTGCTTATTTTGAAAATAAGAAATACTTTAAGTTAAATAATTTATGAATTTGAATTTTATGAATTTATAAGAGAGAAACAAATATTAATTTTGGCTTTTCATATCTTCTTATTGTCATTTGACATTAGAAGTTAGAATTAAATTATTTAAAATTTAGAATTAATTTGAACTCAAAATTTAAGTAATCTTCATTACAAAGTGATATAGACAAGATGATTAATGTTTTAATCTACTGAAAATTATACTACCAATCTGATAATTTTTTAAGGAAAATTTTCAGTAACTAAACTTTACAATTTATTCTGAAAAAGTATGATTATTGTTACCATTTAGCGTTTGAAAAAGTTCAAGGAAATTGTTTATAATTGGCTGCTTTAAAAACTTAAAAGAACTCATTCTAATAAAAAAGCTATATCAAAGAGAGGAAATTAAAATAATTAATTATTTAATCTGAGGTTTTAAAGGGTCTACAGCTTATTTTTGAGTTTGCTTCTTCGATTACAAAACCTGGTACCTCTCCATCAATGGAATGTATTAAATAATCAAAACCATAAAAATGAGACTTTGTTGAATATCTTCATATAAAACTTATTTATGAGAATTCTCGAAAGAAAGTAGAACATATAAATGCTTGTGCTTCTATAAATTGTTGTTTTATCCAAAAAATATCTGCTATTTTGCTTATATCGAGTTTATTTTTTTGGCTTTTGCATACTATATTATTAGTCAGTTTATTAATATCAACAATGCCTAAACAATTCTAAACACCTTAACCAGATTTTTTTCCTCAAAAATTATTAAGATCCACAATTTTTGTTACATTAATAGTTTGTTATATCATTCAAAATATACAGAAGAATTTAAAAATAGACATATAGATTAGCCATAAATCGTATTTTCAAAAGGCCATTATAGATTTTGAGCATGTATATTCATTCAAATATATGAAACATCTTTCCGGAAATTCTACACATTTACTATCGAATAATGTTGTTAAAGGAGGTCATATCAAAAAAAATCATTTTTTATTAATAAGTACTAAATGGAGATTGTGAATAACAATGAGCATTATAAAAATAAGTTTTTGGGACTTAATTAAAAAAATTCATTATTAAGATTATTTTAATAATAATTAGGGCAATAATTCTTACATAATCCATAAGTTAAATATGTTTCAAGGGTACATTTAGTAAACACTAAAGAATTGCATTTCTGAATCAAGAAATTTTAGATTAAAAAATTAATAGCAGGCATATACTAACGCAATTATTAATGTTGGTAGGTACTGCAAAACATTTATTTTATCCTTAATATAAATATTATTAGTAATCATAAGGACACATTTTTTTTTGATTTCATCAAATACAATAGGATGTGTTTATGTATAAACTTAATTATCCAAATAATATCCATCTTAGCAAGTGATAAAATCATTACCCGAAGGCTCAATACAAATTATACATCATGAATCACAAATTTAACAAACTGATGCCAAAGTATAACGAGCAAAATCCAGGATTATAAAATTAACAATATTTACCATCTAGATGATAATATCTTCCAGAATCACAATTATTTTTTAAATTAAATTCTTGTATCATAAATGAACAAAATATGCATCTTTATTTACATATTAGGTTAAATTATAAAACATAGGATAATATCTAAACAAGTATATATATTCAAAAGTAAGAGAGTTTAAATTAAATTAATTGCCATTATTAGATCTAAACATTCTTTACATAAAGAATTGCATCCATAGCATTAATAATCCTATAAGTAAGATTTTTATAGCAGTAATCTACTTTTTTACCATCTAATTTATAAGAGTATAAAAGTGAAGGTCAATAAAGCAATAATTTTAACTCAAGTATAAGTAGTCTTGAAAATTAGCCGCAATTGTTTTAAAAGATAAATTTGGATAAGGCTTAAAATCAGGGCAAACTGAATATTCATATTGTTGAATTTCTACAATAACCAAGATCAATTTCATTAAACTCATTAACTTGAACCCCAAAACATTCTGAACATGGATCGGGATAACTACTGTAAATTAATTAATCTGGGTAGGTCTAACAAATATTTGAATAATAATATCATCAGTCAAAGTGATCCACTATAGAATTTCATTTATAAGTTACCTAAGGGCTCTATCGAATGAACATAACGAAGTAAGGTTTGTTAGTACAAAAATTGATACAGGTTTTCCATCTATTTAAAAAGTAGCCGAATGAACAAGTAATACATCTATATTAATTTCCATTAACGCATGATGCACACCAGATGTAAAAGCTATCAATTTTTTAGATATTATTCATTATAGATTCCCAAAGGGCATCCCATTTTTTATTGCATAATCTTTGTGTAGCATGATTCTATGATTAAAAAAAAATTTTCGACAAAATTAATTCATCTCTTAACAAATTATTTTGTATTCCGATTCTTGTAATAAAACATTTAGTTCTGTATAGAAATCTTGTACAGGATGTTGAGTAAGCAGTTTCAAATTCTGAAGCACAATAATCGTAATACTATTAGGTTAAGCAATCTAAAAAATTGCTTCATTAAGTTTACATTATTTCTTCAGAAGTAATATTAATTAAACAAGCAAGTTATTGAAGAAAATGCTACTTTTTCAAAAATATAATTAAGAATATTTAATCCAGAAGTTGTTATATTTTCATCAGACAAATATCAACACGTTTCCAGTTTACACTATCATTAAATTATGGATAGCATTAATTCACATACTAATTTTTTATATTTATAATAAAAATTATGTCTGTTAATCTTTACAGGATAAATAATAATTCTAACAATAATGAACAGCAATATAATAAATAGTTCTTAATAGCTTAATATGCTTATAAAGGTTCAACATTTAATCTAAAATATTCCCATGTAATTGTCACTGAATTATCATTATGCCCTAGTCTCTCCTGAATTCCCTGATATTTTTTTTATCTGTATAGTAGCATAACGATGGCTTAATTATTTCCAAACTAAAGTAATAGATTAAACTGAGAGTATTTGAATTAGCTTTTCAAAGAAGAAATAAATTAAATCATTGCTTCTCTATTGAAATGTTTTTTATTATAAAAAATTGAAATTGTTTTTCTGTCATATACTTAAAAATTATGGACTTCAAATTTAGATTTATTGATTAAATTCTTATAATCATAAAGTCCACTAATTTATGATGAAATAATTTAAAGTCAGATGAAACAAGATGGAAAATTAATACAAAATATATGAAATTCCATAAGAATATTTTTTTCTTTCTATTATTCTAAACAGATTTAAGCTATTTTCTAGACAAAATTCATTTGTAGAATATAAAAAATATTACAATGTCATAATTATTGTCATTCATCATTCTAATTATTACCCTCTTAAGTTACTTTTGTTTAAAAATTTCAACAGAATAATCACTGAAGATAAAGAATACTGAATAGCATTTTTGCACTACTTATTAATGTAATATAAGGATCTAAACAAAATTTTTTGATTTGTCTTAGTTCAATACTTACCAGTTTTTAATCTTCTACTTTATTTCTCAAATCACTAAATCTGTCTATTTAAGTGAAAGTTAAAATTGTAATAAAAATAAAATTTTCATCCAATTCTGGAAAGAGCAGTATCGATGCTATATTCATAAATAATTATCCATATGCAAAAAAAAGAATTTTCTTTATCTTTAAACCATTTACTAATGTAATAACTTTCTGTGACAAATCTCCTAGATTCAAATATTCCTTTAATAAATCTAACAATGATCATTACTTAAAAATACAGAAATTAAGCACAAAACTAAATGAGGTTATAAATATTAGCATACATTTACAAAGAATAACTACTATACCAAAAAGCACATTTGATTTTTTAACACTAAAAGCATCAATTATTAAATCTCCTACTAATAGTAAATAATTAACATCTTTTTAACTCACATAGGAATTATTTTAATGAATAAACACCAATTAGTTACATACCAAGGAAGTTTTTGACCATTATTTAAGTGTATTTAAAAATTGCACAATCTGGTTAAAAAATTTATTCAAAAATCAATTTAAAATCATTACTTAGTAATTTCTAAATTAGACTAAATGAATTTTAAGTTTAAAAAAAAGAAAAATTAAACTGCTTCATTAATTTAATAATTAATTACTTTAAATATGATTTTCTTATTAAATTAACTTCTACAATATATTATGTAAATAAATAGTTTAAAAATAAAATAAATTAATAAATCTATCCTTTATTTAAAATTTAGATTATTACATATTATGATACCTAAACTTTCTTTTTATTTATATTCATTTAATTTATATTGTGATATATTTGAAATATATACCTTTACAACTATTTATAATTTATTCTTAAAAATATGCTTAATAATCGATTTATAATGAATCAAAAATCATAAAGATTGTTAACATATGATTATGAATAGATAAATAGCTACAGATGGGATATAATTATAATTTGAAACATAGTAAATCAGAGATTTTAGGAATTTTTTATAATTTATTATAAGTTTTTTTTAGATTTTGAAAAAATAATTATTATTCTTTCTAAACTAATCTCTATATATTTATTATGTACATAAATCGATAAATAAAAAATGTTGATTTGAGTTTGTTTATGATCTAATAATCTTTAATGCATTATAATCAATACCTAACCTTGCTAGTCTTAATGTAGATTATGAATTAAATTAATTCACGAGAGATCTTGATAATAATAATATTAGTGATTTTATGATTCTAATTAAAATTTTGATATTTATAATAAATATTCAATTAAATTTGTTTTTAATTTTTATTCTAGTTACTTCATTTAATTTAATTTTTTATTTACATAAAGAGTTAGACTTAAATGGCAATTTATTATTTTCAATGCTTCGTATAAATTATTTAGGAGCAAGGTTTTGTATTTTTTATAATAGACTCTTAATAAATCAATAACTAAAGGATAAATTAGTTTCAAAAAAAGAAAAACTATAATCATTTCAATAACAAAAGAACACTTATTAATTTAAATTAGTTGAAGTTTCATTAAATTTGAATAAATTAATAAATTAAAAGTTTTTTTATTTAATATTTTAAAATAGTCTCAGTACATTGAAATCATAATATATCACACATCATTTAGTATACAAAAATTATAATACTTTAAGGTTTCATCTTATCTCATTACATCAAAAAATGTGGATATAATTTTTCAAAAATACATCCTCACTTTTTTACTATACCCCCTCTTTGGATTTTATAAAAAAGTTTAAAAATATTTGCTCACAATTTTCCTGGAGAGGTGTCAACGTATATCTGAGGTGTCATACTAAGTTTTGAACATTTAAAAAATCTGAAAAAAATCCGCCAGACAGAAACATAAATATGAATAATAATCCCAATATAAAATTGATTTATGTATGCTCATTTCCTATTATATTATTTACCAAAATCTAAAATCGAATATTAAAGAAGAATAACACAACTATAAATCAAATCTGATTACAATAATAAAACATATTCTAATCTCTAAACAGTTGCTTATAAATTACAATTATTTATACTTTAAATAATTATATAATAGAAAAAGAAAAATGAATTGCTGAATTATATAACTCAAGTTAAATATAAATTAAATTATTCATATAAAAATTAATTTTTCCATATTATTTATGAAGAAAGTAATGAATATTTTGAAATGATTTCTTTATAGCTTAATTAACCTAAATTATTATCAATGTAAAATCTGCACTAAGTCTGAACTTCTATTTTACTGAAATGCACAAGATGCTTTTTATTGATTTTGCAGCATATAACTTTAAGTAAGAGTAATAGAAATTCATTATTAAAAATAAAAAAGAAAATGCAGAGCTCTTTTAAACAGAAGGAAACTCTAGCTGACATCTTTGCTAAAGTCAAAATTGTAGATGAGCAAATGTTTGGTGTCATATTAGAAATATTAAAAAAGGAAAAAGTGCAAGACTGCATTGGATTTCTATCAGACATTGGGAATCAAAGGCAATTAGAATCATAAATTTTACTACAAGGAGAGATTTTAAAACAACGTGATAAATAAAAATTGTCTGCTATTGGAAATGACATTAACTAAATTGCAGATATCTTAAAAAAATTAAAAGATCATGACTTTAATTACAAAGACTTTTCCTCTGAAGAAAATGAAGAATCCAAATTAAGTCTTATAAACAGCATCAAGGATAATAGAAGAATAATTTAATTTCTGTTATTTTTAGTTCATCTCACATCCGTTGATGAAACTTTAATATAGGGTGGGTCTAATTCATTACATTTATTAGTTTAGATGTAGGTAGATCTTAGAATCAAAAATTTTGAAAACATAAAAATCTAAAATTGTTCTTTAATGGGAGCTAATTTTGTTAAGTGCAATTTAAGTGGATCATAATTTAATAATATCAACATAAGTGGAATAAACTTAAATGGAGCATTATTATTTAATTGTAAATGGAAAGACTTAAGAATCCATGAATTGAATAAATTAAATGGCCATACTAATGGTGTTGTATCAGTTTGTTTCTCTCCTAATGGAAAAACATTAGTTTCTGGAAGTCTAGATAAGTCGATCCGTGTTTGGGATGTCAAAACAGGATAATAAACAGCAAAATTAGACGGTCATAGTGATTATGTTAGATCAGTCTGTTTCTCTCCTGATGGAAACACTTTAGCATCTTGTGGTGATGACAAGACTGTCTATTTATGGGATTCTAAAGCAAGAAAGAAAAAAGTTAAAATATTTGGTCGTAATTAAATAATCAACTAAGTCTGTTTCACTTCTGATGGAACTACATTTGCATTTTGTAGTATTGATAACTCTATCCGTCTTTGGGATGTCAAAACCGGATAATAAAAAGCCAAATTAGATGGTAATAGTGGATCTGTCTACTCAGTCTGTTTCTCTCCTGATGGAAATACATTAGCTTCTGGTAGTGGTTATTACTCTATCGATCTATGGGATATCATAACAGGATAATAAAAAGCCAAATTAGATGGTCATAGTGGATTTGTCTACTCAGTCTGTTTCTCTCCTGATGGAAATTCTTTAGCCTCTGGTAGTTGTGATAAGTCTATCCATCTTTGGGATGTCAAAACAGGATAATAAAAAGCAAAATTAAACGGTCATTGTGATACTGTTAGATCAGTCTGTTTCTCTCCTGATGGAAATACATTAGCTTCTGGTAGTGTAGATTAGTCTATCCGTCTCTGGGATGTCAAAACCGGATAATAAAAAGCCAAGTTAGATGGTCATACTCATTATGTCTGGTCAGTATGTTTCTCCCCTGATGGAAACATATTAGCATCTGGAAGTTATGATAACTCTATACGTCTTTGGATTGTCAAAACAGGATAATATAAAGCCTAATCGGATGGTCATAGTGGACCTGCAAACTCAGTCTGCTTCTCTCCTGATGGAAATACATTAGCCTCTGGTAGTAGTGATAAGTCTATCCATCTTTGGGATGTCAAAACAGGATAAAAAAAAGCCAAATTGGAGGGTCATACTCATTATGTCTAGTAAGTCTGTTTCTCCCCTGATGGAAACACATTAGTTTCTGGTAGTTATGATAAATCTATCCGTCTTTGGGATGTCAAAACTGGATAATAAAAAGTCAAATTAGATGGTCATACTCATTTTGTCTAGTCAGTCTATTTCTCTTCTGATGGAAATACATTAGCTTCTGGTAGTGATGATAACTCTATCCGTCTTTGGGATGTCAAAACTGGATAATAAATAGCCAAATTGGAGGGTCATCGTGATACTGTTAGATCAGTTTTTATTTCATCTGATGGAAACACATTAGCTTCTGGTAGTCTAGATAACTCTATCCATCTTTGGGATGTCAAAACAGGATAATTAAAAGTCAAATTAGATGGTCATACTCAAGGAATCTTATCAGTCTTTTTCTCTCCAGATGGAAATACATTAGCTTATGGTACTTATGATGATTCTATAAGACTATGGGATGTCTAAAAAGGATAGTAAAAAGCTAAATTGAATGGTCATACTAAGGGTATCTTATCAGTCTGTTTCTCCCCTGATGGAAACACATTAGCTTCTGGTAGTTATGATAAATCTATCCGTCTTTGGGATGTCAAAACAGGATAATAAAAAGCCAAATTAGATGGTCATACTCATTAAGTCTAGTCAGTCTGTTTTTCTCCTGATGGAAATACATTAGCTTCTGGTAGTTATGATAACTCTATCCGTCTTTGGGATGTCAAAACAGGATAATATAAAGCCTAATCGGATGGTCATAGTGGACCTGCAAACTCAGTCTGCTTCTCTCCTGATGGAAATACATTAGCCTCTGGTAGTAGTGATAAGTCTATCCGTCTTTGGGATGTCAAAACAGGATAAGAAATTAAATCCTATGATAAAAGTTACAAAGATCTTTTAATATAATTTATAATTCCACTACAATAAAATAGTCCTATATCAGAAGCTAATATTAATAATTTTATATTGTTAGTCTCCAATTACATTACTATACTCTTTATATCCTAATCCACAATATTCTAAGCATAAGGAGCTCTTATTCTAAAAGGAGAATTCATCAATCATCAAGGCATTGATTTAAGAAACTTTTTTAAATCCAAAGGAAGTTGCATTTTAGAAGACTTTTAGTGAAAGTTATCATCAACACAATTATAATTATAACCAATATCTAATAATGTTAAATTTTTTTTGTTTATCAGTTCATCACTTTATCTTAACCTCTAAAGATAGGTAAGTCCATAATTTCCACAGTATATAAAAATCTATACTCAGTATAATTTAGGGAGTAATTATAATATATATATTAATTTAAATTTAAATGAAACTAAATTATATCTTAATGCTTTACAAAATTTTACTGGAGAGTATGAAGCAGAACTTAAAAGAAAATGTGAAACATTATTTAATGAAATAAGGTAACTTAATAAAACACCATTCCTTTTAAAGGTTATAGTTAATAGTTATAATATTTAGTTTTTAGTTTATCAATTGTAAAGATATATATTTCTATGATAATTTGTTATGATAGTAAGGCAAAAACATCTATTGAATTGAAATAAGTTTAATATACTATTCATATTTAACCTGGTTTAGCAGCAGTACAAATTTGCCAAATCTATTCAACTAAATAAAATAAAGATCAAAGTTAATTAGAATACTTATTTAAAATAGATTAAAATTCAGCTGTGTCTAAAAATGATTGTTGAACTTGGAGATTAGAAAGTTTATGGAGTAATAAAAGAGTTAGAAGAGGCCAAAAAAAATATTAAAAAGGAATTGAAGATGGAAAGAAGATTGTGATAAGCTAAGAGGATTAAGAAATATCAAATATTAAAAAGGCAAAAATTGGTTGTTTGAGCCCTGGTAAATTATTAAAAAATTAATTTGTACACATCCAACCATTATAAGTCTTTCTGAATTAATTTAGTCTCTGATTATAGATACAAGTTATCTAACAGTTAATGAATTAAAGAACACTTATAAAGATTATGCTTAAAAATATTCTTTTGTAAAACAACATGTTAACATTTAAACAATATAATTAAATAATAAATAAAATATTAATGTATTAATAAATATTGGAAAAACCAATTACATATTCTTAGTCTCCAACACACTCGATACAATTAAATTTTTGATATTAATATGAGGGAGAAATAAATTCATTTATCAAATCAACAGAACTAATTAAGCGTTACTTTAGATTCAAATGATCCCCAAAATATGGCACCAAATAGAAGGTTTGAACTATTTTTTTCAGGCGACGATATTATAAACCTTATGCAACACTAAGTCATACAAATAATGATGCTTTGTAGCATATCAGATATTGTGCTACTTTAACACTCATTCCAAAATTAAATGAATTTCGATTAGATGCTTATCAATTATTTCTCAATGGTTTAAATATACTATGATAGGCAAAAATCTAAAAGAGTTGTTATCTTGTTTTTATTGATCGCAGTGGTTCAATGGATGGAATAAGAATTCAAAAAGCCAAACAATCATTAATGCTGTTTCTGAGAAGCCTTCCAGAAGATTGATTTTTAATATAATTTCATTTGGTAAAGATGTAAAAAAATTTTCAATATTGCATAAAAGTACTATTAACAAACATTAAACTAGGCAATTAAGTAATTTCAAGAAATGAGTGCAGATTTGGGTGGAACAAATATATTATAAGCACTTATATAAGGTATTTATGATGAAAATTATTCTAAAAACAAATACTAACATATGGATAGGATTAGCCTGTAAAGATCAATAAGTTGGTATCTAAAAACCAAAGATCTGAAACTAGAATTTATACATTAGATATTGGGAATTATTGAAGTGAGTATTTAGTCTAAATATTAGCTGAAGTTGGAAATGGAAATTGTTAATTAGTAGAGGAGATAGTGAATAGATGTATTAAAAGATTCCCTAACTTATTATTTAAAGGGCTTTTCATTATGCATAATATTGACAAGGTTTCATAGATTATTCCTGATCCAAAATTTATAACTTNAAGAGTGACATAGGCTTACTTGATTAAATATGACGATAGATCGAATATCTTGTATCAAAAAATTCAAGAATTAAAAAAAATCTGTATCTAATATGATATTATTAAAAGCAAAAACAAAAGGAAAAAAAATTTAACATCTATTAGAAATCTATAACTAAAGATATATCATCCTAAATTTAAACTTAAAGAAATTAAAAATCAACACCTGATATCTTTGATTTAGATTCTGTAAATTAATAACAAGTTTTTTCTTTTTATTTTTCTTGATTTTACTCATGATTTCTACTTAGATTTAAGTTTAAAGCAATCATATTTATCCATTAGATAAATGGATATCAATCTAAGATTAATAATGAAATATTAAAATCTTGAGTTTATTAAAATTAATTAAGAATATTTATATAAATATTAGTTTTGAAAATGGTTCTATTATTTCTAATTAATATTTATAAATTAAATTATTCATAAAATATTAATGTATTAATAAATATTGGAAAAACCAATTACATATAATGGAAAGGTGTATTTTGAATTAATAAAAATACCAATTTGAAATTATCTCAACTATACTATTATTTTTCAAAGCCCGATAAATTTCTCATAAAATTTTAAAAAGAAATAAGACTTTTTAGTACTGATGAAAGCTCTAATTGAAAAGTCTAAAATATTTGATCGTGATATTAATTTTAATGAATAAGAGTATATTTATAAAAATATTAGGACAAAATAGTAAATAACTAGGGAATATTTTATGATTCTTCCTCGCAATTTATTTAATTTAATTCTATATTATATAAGTTAGATCCTTATTAAGATATAGTTATTATTTTTAGTTTTTTATTGCTGTTTTGGTTTGTTATATTTCTTTAAAAGTTTCATAAATAAATGAAAATTTGAAGTAATATCATTGCTTAGAGTTATTCGGCTTAAAATACATTTTATCAACATCATTTTTATATTGCTTTTATTTTCCTTTAAATATACAATTTCTAATTCCTATTCAATATTTATTGAAAAATTAAGTAATCTCAACTAAATTGCTTATGATCTAAAATAGTCTAATGAATATCTACACTTAAAAAAAAATTGGATTAATTAAACCTACACTTTAAGGAACAGTGTTTATACAGAATCAATATTAATTCCTAAATTGATATTCGGAATAGAATGCTTTGTGAATATTTCAATAATCTTATATAATTCCTTTATAAATAATCGTGTTGATCTGTTTATTCAGAATTATTAGTTTTGCCCTTTTTCTATATAGTTTAATATGCTAACCTAATCAACATATAGTTAGCAAAAAACAGAAGGAATATAACAATATATTAAGTTTTTAGATTGTTCTTTAAGTTGATCGTTTTCTACCTAAAATAATTTTAGCAATTACATCATAGTGAAAAAATTAGTAAAGTTTTATCATAATTTTCCTAAACTAATTTCTATTTGAAAATATACAAATGTTAAATAGGATAAGTGATTTAAGAATATTTCTGGATTGATTTTAGTTTTTCAGTTTTATAGAAGTGCTCAATCGGCAGTCTAATTTGTAAATATTACCCTTTTAAAACAGATCCATATTTATTAATATTGCTTAAATGTCTATTTTGATTTGAACTATAGTTATCCATTTCAATCAACTAGGAAATCGCACTAAGAGGGATCATTTATTTGATGAATTTCAGATTCTTTATTTTCTACTTTATTAAATGATCCATTCAGATGTACACTTAATTATCTAAAGTTACAATTAGATGCTTCCACATTCTTTGTTACAATAATATGATTATCTCCAAGTTTAATTTCCTTTTCTTCAAATCATAATTCTAATTCTGATAACATCAATTATCATGTATTATATAAATAAAATTACATCTATCTAAAACCAGCCTTTTTACTATTTTTATAACACTTTCTATTGTATTATTGAATTTCTATTTATCTTCAGATAATCCTTTAATCTGATTCTTGTAAATTATCTATCAGTGTTCACTATTCTGTAAGAAATTCTTATACTTTGGTTATCAGAAAATAGAGGGGCAAAATCAAATAGCTTTTAACTTTAGCCGATGTCGATGATAAATTAAATATTTAATTATCCATTTAACTTTGTTGATGTCTTTATTTAATAGCATAAGTGGAATCTTTTATTACTTTAGTAGTTTCTTGGTAAAAGCTTCAATTAAAAACTTTTTAAATCATTTTAATTTCAACATAATTTAGTGTCTAAACCAAATTATTGGTTGAGTATATTCTTGATCGTAAAATTTGGAATTTAACCTGAACCTCCTCATATATTTCTTTAGTTTAATTTAATTACCTTCATCATTTATAAAGATGTTGATCATCTTATCCATTGTCCAAATAACTTCTTAGGTAATAAAACTGATATTAAATAAATAAAATAGCTTCGCCATAAAATGTAATTTTGAGTATCTCATCTTTAAAAGAAATGAAGTAGGGCTGAATTTTAAAAAAGATATTTTTGAGTTTCTTTTTTAACAATTTTCTCATTGTAAGATTGAATTTTATCCCTTTTTGTCAGTCTAATAATTTTATCATTTTCCCAGATATTCTGCTTTCAAAAACTATGATATTATTATTTTTAATGATACTTCTTCAGTTATTTTTTTATTTATCTAGAGAATTTCATTCGATATAATATCATTTCAATAATTATCACTCCATAATTGTAAATAACTAAAATCACCAATATTTGATTAAATTTGAGTAAATGCAACACTTTTATAATATATATAGATATTGAATATTACATATAATTTAAATATTCTAAGATATTTCATAATTTGTATATTATAATATTCATTAATCCTTACACTTTCTTATTTAGATTTCCTTTGATCCTAAATCCCAAGTGATCAAATACTCTCCATCATCACTTAATTGTCCATAAAT